GTGGGTTGGAATTTGGTTAAAGTCATGTATGAGTTTCATTTTATATTTTTAATTGTTTAGGAGAAGGCCAAAACAATGTTGGACAACATGAAGAAACTGGAGAAAGGGCTATTCAAAGAAATGGAATTAATCCTTCAAAATAAGCATCTCAATGTAGATAAAATTGTTAATCTCTTTTCTCAATGTGCAAAAGATGAAATTAAAATTTATAAGTCAAATATTAGTTCTTAGTGATCATATAAATGGTCAGCAGTCTTCCTGAAAGTCAGAATCTATAACTTTGGTAAATGATATAAATCTAATTTGAACACATCTGATTATTCTTTACTAGCAATCAAGTGATATCTTGCCTATTAAAACTACATATAGTCTTGCTGAAATACTGAGAAAACAACATTGGAATTGGATATATATGTCATGGGATATCCAGGTGCCACTTCAGGTGATGGACTTGTGTTATTTTCTTTAGCCACAATAACTTTTTTGCCCCAATAATTAAGTACTCAATTCTGCATAAATAAGGAAACATTAAGATGATGCATGGATTTATATTTATTATAATTATGTAGTACCCTCAAATCATTTTCTCAATTACATCAAGAAAGGTTTTTCTTTAGAAATGGAAAATATCTCAAGTGGTGAGTTTTTTTGTGCTTTAGGCAAATATTAACCAGCTCAAACAAGAAAATTTTCTAGATTTATATGTTAAGTCTTCATCATTACAGTATATTAATTCTACAAATGCATTTTTATTAAACTCAAACATGCTCTTTGTCAAGCCTTGGCTGACCAGTGAATGAGCTTATAGCTCTAATTATCTAGCAAGTTTTGGGCCATTCCCCTTAATAGCCTTTTATGTTAATAAGATGTTTTTTAGAAGAGTTTGAAAGATTAGAGAATGAGATAAAAGAACCACGACCTTAAGACATACTGTGTCTCAGTCTCAAATCTCTCTTATCTTTTACTTCTGTTCATTCGGTAGAAACAAAAACAGGAATGAGGTAGTGGCAATGAGATAGAATTATTATTATATTATGAATAGTATAACATTATATCATTAACATTATAAATGAGTAATATCTTCTTAAATTTTTAAAAAACCTTGTTAAAGTTACATAAAGATTACCTAGTAAGACTCAAAATTGCAAATATAAGCAAAAGAAAAATCCACCTCAAAATAACACTAAATAATTTTTGGTTTCTAGAAATGTCCATTTTCGGTATTTGATTATCATATAAACTGGTCACTATCATCACAAT